TAACTGATGTGTGAACGTGTTGATCCCTGTCAGTCTCCAGAGCTGTCACTGACACACAAGCAGCGATGCAGGAATGGCCGTGGGGTGCACAGGTGGGTGCAGAGCCCACTTCCCACACCAGCCCTGAGTGTCCTCTCTGCCCCACTTCCTGCAAGAACAGGATTGCCCCACTCTGTGGGACTGCTCTCCTGCTCTGCTTTTGCTTGTTTGTGTGCATCGTGCAGCGTGGAATAAATTCCTGCTGTCAACTGGCAGTGACCCACGGGCAGATGTACGGGGTGCTCGGGCCAGGTGCTGGCTGCTGGGGATCTGTGGGGGTCTCAGTGAGGCAAGGGCAGGGCTGCCCTGTGCCAGGGAAAGCCACTTCAAGGCGTTTTTCCAAAGGGCCCCCTGCAGGACACAGCTGAGCCCATCAGCAAACGCTCCTGGCTCTTCTGGATGGATAGACTGAAGAACAGGCAAAAGCAGGCCTGGCAGTGTGGAGGGAGGAAAATTGTGAGAACCAGCCCTGCAGCAAACAGGGACAGGGAAGGACAGAGAGGGGTTGCTTCATGTGCTGCAGAAGGGATTCCCCTACAGCCCATGGAGAGGACTGTGTTGAGACAGCTCTGCTTCCTGCACCCCATGGAAGTCCACGGTGGAAAAGAGATCCACCTTCAGCCCTTGGATGACCCTACACAGAGCAGGTGGGGTAGGTGAATGACTTCAGCTCATGGAGATCTAGTAGATAATGGAGAGTTCACACTGGAGCCAGTTTATCCTGATGGACTGCAGCCTGTGGAAGAGACCTACACTTGAGCAGGGGAAGAGCGCGAGGAAGGACTGAAGCAAACAACTTATGATCTGACTGTCACCCCCATTGCCCATCCCATTGTGCTGCTGGGAGGGATGAGGAGGTAGAGAATCTGAGAATGAGTTGAGGCTCGGATGATTGGAGGCTGGAGACCAGGTGTTTTAGTTTTGTGTTTATTCCTCTTCCTCCTACTCTTCTCAATAGACAATAAATTCAGTTGATTTTCCCCAAGTCGAGTCTGTTTTGTACCTTTTCCAAAAACAGTCTCTAACACTGCCTTGCCACCAAACCATCTCTTTAAACAGCAACCCCCAAAAACTACCAAATAAGTAACTAATGCCACTTTAGAACATTCCAGCCTTTCTTTTGTGTCTAAACAGGATTTGGGGTTGAATTAACATTTCTATAAAAAGTTCATAACACCTGCCCAGAGGAGATTTTTATTCTCTTTAGCAGGATTATATTCTGGAACAATTGTGGCCTTCTGAGCATTGAAGTTGAGTTATGGATTGAATGGATTTGCCCAGAGGAAATGGGGCATCTAGGAGCCTAAATAGTTATTGAACCCAGGCTAACCATCAGGGATTTTCTACAGTAAAGGAGAACAACAAGGATTGTGTAGAGGGAAGGGGTTTGGCCATGTCTCTCAGATCTCACATACACGTATCCCCTCACATGCAGAAACAGAGAGATCAAATGCCATTTAAGGTGCACAAGGGCATCCAAAATATGCACATGGGTAGATTAGATACAAAGTCTGGGAGATTCCTTCCCCTTCTTGAGTGGTGCTGGAGGGGATAGACTTGAGTTAAAACCAAACCCTTGCACTTCAAGGACATGAGCCACACATTCCCTTCATTGAAAACCCAGCATTTGAGACTCTGATTTATACCCT